CATGCACGAACCGAAATCCATGTGCTTGTTGTTGTGGTCCCACGAATTGCTTATCCTTAATTTTTTGTTCGGCTCGTTAGGATTATCCATGAGATGGGTTTCGTTTTGCTCGAGCACCCTCTTCCCCATATTGTTGAACAGGCTCATGTCATCCATTGAAGATTGCCTACCAAGCTGATCTTGTGGGTTGAAGGCCATTTGGTTTACTTCCATTGATTGAAGGTAATTGCCGGTATACCCTTCCTTGTTGAGAGAATCATGGTGGCTCGGGGAAAGACCAAATTTATTCTCGTTTTCGTCCCCATCTTCCTCCTCCTCCTCCGGCACCTCATCCTCTTCAATCTGTACTTCTTCTTCTTCTTCTTCTTCCTCCTTTTTTTCATCAAATCTCCCAAATTCCTCATTATGTTTTGCAGCACAACGCCTCATAAAATGCTTTCCAAACTCGTTTGTCCCATTAAAAAGCCACTGCCCTTGCTCGTCCCCATCCTCCGCCACCTCATCATCACCATCACGATCCTTGCAATTTTCATCCACCATCTCGACATCTTTTACAACTTCTTCTTTCTCACCATCCTGTCCGAGCGAAAGTACCGTGCTGGGTCCTTCCACTGGAAAATCCTTTTCCTCTAGATTGTTAGTTTTTTCACCAACAACATTCACATCAACATCAACCCCTTCTTTAATAACTCCATGATCTTCTTCCTTATCATTTTCGGAATCAGGTTTCACTGCAGAAAACAAATGTTCACGCTGACACTTGATCAGGTGCTGCAAATGGGATGCATAGTGGCAGTCCCTTAACTGACTTCCTTGCTTCAACTCTTTCTCCACCATAAACCAGAACATGCTAGCCCAATCCACCTTCTCCGGATGCCCGTCTCTTATCAGCTTGAACCAATCGGTCACCTCATTTGGCATCATCCACGTGTCCTCCTCATGCAAAAGCAACCAGTCTGAAACAAGCTCGCTAACAAACCCTATTGACTCGTCTGAGAGAGGCTCGTTTTCCAGGTCAACATCAAACCCACCTGCTGCAGTCCCCTTCTTCTTCACAGGCAACTTGAAAGCACGGGCCAGGTCAGCTCTACTGACAGAGATTCGATAACCATCGACATAGCTAGCTCGAATTTTCGGCTCGTAAGTAGCAATCAGCTCCGCAATCAAATCGACCCTTATGTTTCTATCCAAATCGATGTGAACGAAGTCCCATAGGCCGAGATTTGCCAGAAGCCTCTCGTGCTTGGCGAAATCGGGGATCTTGTTGGGTATGAAGGGGATGGGGTTCAATTTCTCCACCAAAGCTCGAACCTTTTCTTCAATAGCTTGCTGTTTCTTGGGGTTAGGT